GTGGGCCCACTTAATTTACTTTTGTCTTTTTATTAAAACCTCTAAATTATTTTTTACCTGGGAATGATTAAAGACCCAATCACGTGGAGTCTAGAAAATGTCCAATCACAATAAGAAGAGCAGTCGGCAGTGCTTTTAAAACTTCTGTTATTGGCTTGGCTTGAAACGGTGCGTTTGGCCAAGTCATTTTAAAACAGAGTCCTCCTCTTTCTCCTTCTGTAACAGAAGGATCAGTGCATCGGCAGCCATGGCTGCTGTTCTCCACCGTTACAGCCCAGACTTGGGTGGTGCTCGGTGGTTTCAATGGGCCTTTATCTGAGCTTGCGGATGGTCCTGGTCCCTTAATAGATCCGCCTCTGGTTGCAACCGTGCATTTTTGTATCTGCATAATTTGTTTTCCTGTGAATTATCTTAATATTTGTTGTTAAGACGATTTCTTTTGTTTTCCTGATAATAAGCAATTATGAATGCACCTGCACTATTTTTCTTTTTGTTAAATTTTGATTATTATTAAAGAAAATTAGAGAGTTCGAAACTATTACAATAACTTGGTAGATGAGAGAGTTTTAAACCTAAGATACGTGTGGAGAAACTCAACACTATATTCACTAAGATATTCGACCACATGCCAATGCACCTGCACTAATATCTGGTAATATGTTCATAATGTTAGCTCTGTAGGAGTATGATAGTTTAGCTTATAAGCCGTGAATCATTATGAATTTATACCAACACAAGGCGATTAATTAGTGCTTTTTTTTAGAAAAAAGTTTTGTTTTTGTCTTATGAAACTGTTCACTGTTGACATGGAATTTCGCGTAGTTTCTAGTTTTGTTCTTTAATTCATTGTGCAGATGAATTTTACATATTGTAAGCCCGATAAGTTTAAATGTTTAACGAATTTATGTGGTTTTTTTTCCATATTTTTGAATGAGTGTAAAGATAAATTTAAATATTGAATTGAGTTTGTGAGAGTAGCTTAGGTAGTAAATTTAAATTTAAAGAGATATCGATAGTTTAATTAAAAATAATATAAGTGTCGAGGATGTAAAGAGAGGTTATGGGTGCAAATCAAATTTCCCAAGAATTTATTGGGCATATTTGAAAGTTCTTTTAAAATAACTAAAAGCGTTTTTGGATCACCAAAAGTGCTTCCAATAGTGTTTGGCGGAAAAAGTTAAACATGCTTCTGGGTTGAAAAACGCACTTGAAGTGCTTTCTGAAATAAGCACTTGTTGTGCGCTTCCTTCATATTGGTGTTTTTCCATAAAACGCTTGCATTTTTCCTAATTTTTTTTTAATTTTTAAAAGAAGCACATAGAACCGAGTTACAAACATTTAATACAAACTAGAATTTGGAAGGTCATTAAACATGTAATAACCTATATTATATAAATCACCAATTCGTATTCTTCATTGTTTGTGCTTCGATTATGCTTGCGATAAACATGTGCCCCGTTTTGCTTGTGTCGATAATTATACAATAAGTTGTATACAACTCACGGTTTAGTGTGTCCGTTTTTTATTTTATGCGCTACGGTTCTCTATTTGATTAAAAATATATAATCGGTTCTGTTTGCAAGTGTAATACAATCTATTTAGTATATATAAACACAAAAGCATCATGCTTTCTTTACAAGGTTGAATAATTCTTTATTTATGAGTATAATACCAGTTCATGATCAGATTATGTGAATCTGCATCAGAACTCAGGTGACTTAATTAGTGCGGTGGCTAATGAGTGATAACCCTAAAATAAATGGATTAGGTTAATAACAAAATGATTTGCATGTATTTTATGGTAAGAGTGGAATATTATTACAGTTCCTTTTAGCTTTTGCTTTCACTAGGTTATTAATTTAAGCTTTGATTGGCATCAGCAGAGACAAAGGGTTAAACTTGATTGGACAAAGCTCTCATTGTTTAGTACTAATCAGATCAATAATGTTGTGTATTATGATGATTAATTAACAATAAAACATTAGTGATTATCTTTATACTTTTGTTGTTTGGGTTGGATAACCAGATACATCGGTATGTAAATGTGAGTAGGGTGGGGGGACCAAAGAATCCACGAGATGAATTGATTTTGTTTTGTTTTCTTCTTCTTTTTTAATATTCATTGGGAGAAACATCGTTGTAACATGATGAAAGTTTGTTGTCTAGTTATATGAAACGTGATACAAATCGTTTTCATCGGAAGAATTTTTAATTTCAAACAGGATATAGTCTTTAACGCTACAGTATGAGACCACCAGCACAATTTGGAATACCATTATTTAAAGTAATGCTCCCTTGTTGAGTTTGCGTTCTCAAACAAATGTTTATATTGTCGTATTATGAGCTTAAATATACTGTCTTGTTATGTATTTATGGCAAATGTGTTATAAGCAACTGTTTATGGCCAAAAGCTCTTTCAAACATGCCCTAAGTTCTCGTGAAGAGACGGACAAGGTATCAACTTTTGGATTTTTTGTGTGTGCATTTTGACATAGACACCTTGTTTTAGAATGTCATAGACTAAACATCTCTTCCTTTTAAAAATTTGATTAAATATTTTTCCTACAATTTTTGGGACAAAATTTTATTTTATTTGAAGTTTATTATTCTTCACGTTTCTTTTTGTCAACCGTTCTTTCTTTGTTAACCATTTTATACTCCTATTATTATTGCATTTATTATTCATCTCTTTATGGTGATATCAATTTTTTTATTGTTTATCATTATATTTGTTTTAATAAATTAATTATAATGTTCCAAAATTGGTTATCAGGTACATAAACATAATATAGGTACGTTCGATTGTATGGTTGTTTGATTATATAAGGACGTTTGGTTACCAATAACATGTATACATTTGGTTTATGGTACATTTGAAACATAAACGAACCAAAAGTCGATACGTTTGTTATCAACGAATCATATATTTTAATTGCTTTTTTTTTTACTATTAATGAGGAATTACTTTAATTAATTTTTATAGAAAAAGTAGGCAGTTTTAATAAAACACTTATTATATTGTTCACTTTTAACGTTAAAGACATTTTAAGCCTAAAAAGTCATTCATTGTACAATTCACTTTCACCTTTATTTTATCATTTTAATTAAAACTAAAGTTTTTGAGAAATTTTGGTTAGTTTTCCTATAATAGTAAGCATCGGAATTCAAGAGATTGGGGAAATAAGATACTTTTACACTAATTACATGTAATTTGAAAATAGGAAAATAGTGATGTGGGAAGTGGTGAAAGCTTCTTAATCAAATCTTAAATAGGAACTAATTCAATACTAAATATTGTGTGACTTAACTAAACTCCATTTTCCTCAAATGTAAAAATATCAATGTACTAAAAAAATGAAAGAAAATCTAATTTCTCCTATTTTTCGCACTAGAGTCTAGAGGCTATGGGACACATGACACGCTAGGAGATCCAATATATAAGGCCTCTTTCTAGACTTATAGTCAGACAAATATTTATATTATTATATACTGAATACAAATGACACATTCAAACAAAAATCAACCTAATCAATAGATCAAATTCACAGTCTAATAACATAAGTATTTTTTTTAATACCAAACAGTCTAGCAAGGCAATGTTTCTCCTACCATATGATCATGCATAAACTATGTGCTGTACTAAAGCCAAAGATGGCTTCTTCTAAACCATGTGCGTTATCCATGATATGGTGCAGTGGGCGGCTACCTTTAAGATAGGGTCTTGGCCTTTTTTATTGTTTTTATAGATCGCCTACTAAGAGAAATCGTTGGTAGCGGAATTCAAATTTAGACTTTAACTTAGTGAGGAAAGAAAAAAAAACATCTTTACCAACTCAACCATCCCTAGTTGGCAATTTATCTTTACATTTTACTAGAATGGGCCAGATTCATCCAATTTGATGTGTATCTATCTATACCTAAAGACAAAAGATATGGTTGGTTGTTTTCCAACCAGAACAGTCTCTTGAATTTTCAGAGAAGGGCCTTGACTTTTGATATATATGGTTTGACTCATATGCATGGAGATTAGAATATTTCTCATCGCTATTTTTATTTCTTTGTTTGCCCGACAAGGAAACAATACGAGGAACAAAATAGCAGAAGCAAACCCGGATAAGAATCTTGAAGTTTGACTCAGTCCTCTACACCTTGTTTCTCAAGCGTTTAGTCTAAACTCTCTCTCTCTCTCTCTCTCTCTCTCTCTCACTCTCACTCGAATGGTAAGCATTGTACATTAGGTTGAAAGACTGTCAATGATGCATAGCAGTTATCGCGACAGTCCTATTCGGCTAGCTTCTTGAAGGTTACAAGTTGAATGTGTGTATGTAGTAAAATCATGATTTTGACTGCATAATATTTAGTTTTGAGTTCATCACTTCTTGCTTTGATTCGTTGGTTCAAGTTCTTAAATATGTTGAGCTGTATTAAAAGTTTTCGTCATGTTTAATCTTTGATTCTTACGTAACTAGTGAGTTAGAAGTTACATGGTGCCCATTGTTGAATTATAAGCAGCGAGTTGATTAGTATTAGTGAATAAGCCATGTGTTTAATTGTGTATTCACTTGTGCTTAATATTGCCAAGTATAAAATTCAAATATGTAAGACCATGAGTGCCATGTGTAATGATCCTAGTTATTAACTAAATGAGTGGCTGAGATCTGTTTCTAGCGAGAGAGAGAGAGAGAGAGATCCAGCTTAAGTGTTTCTAACGGTATTATTCCCTTTTTACACAACTTGTGTGGGAGCGAGAGAAGCAATCACTGAGAATAATATTTCCTCAGTAATTTGCAGAGACAGAAGCAACCATTTCCTCTCCCTTGTGCATTCATCTCTCTTCGATTCCTTCTTCCAAAATATCAATCAACTGAGCTATATTTCAATCAACACTTACACCCATAATCTGCAATTAGGTTGCGCAGCCAAGTAGCCGCGCTTAGGGTTTTCCGACTAAATTCTTATAAGCAGCATTTTGATCAGAGTAGTTTGTCAAGAAGCTGAAATGAATAAAGGAAACTTAACAAATGAACTCATAAACCATGACTGCACGCAGTGCACATAATATAGACAACTCGAAAACTCGAGAACAAAAAGATTACAGATTTTATTACTCATCCACGACTGTAAAAAAATGTAGCCTAGATAACATGATCCAGCAACTAAGCAGGTTTCCAGAAAGCAAGACCGAAGATGATTCTGCCTTTCCATCCCTGAAGCATCCAATCGCCATCTTCATCTATTCGAAAATCATCATGATAATGCATTGCCTTGAGCATAATCTTCACTCTTTTCAAGAGCTCCTGGTCTAATGGCACCTGCTTGAACCCAGCCCGATGATATCTAACCTGCCACTGCTTGTACGTCTCGGGCCTTTCAACTCGTTCCAGTCCTTCACACGCGACGACATTCATTATGTCTTTGCCATATATTGCCTTTTCAAACATCATCCGCTGCTCATCTTCGCGAGGAATAGTGGCCTCAAACATATCAAACATAGCAGAGAAGTGGTAGAGTGCCTCTTTGAACCGTGTGACAAAGAAGGGTGAATTGTATGTCCCGTTGACAACTCCGTGAATGAAAAGGTCCGGATTAATTCTTCTGATCAACTTTAGGACAAGGTCCCTCGGACTGCTCACCACCACGGTTTCATCAGGTATGTGCTTTAACCGATGCATGCAGTTAACCACAGTTAGCTCATTTCTGTCAATTTTAAGATCCTCAAGTTGGATAGTCTCCCATTTCTGTGCAAAGACCTTGTACTCAAACTGGACATTAAATCTTGCAGCATATTTTTTCAAGCGACGCCCCGTCTCCTCAACTCTTTCTGTAGGTCTAAAACCTGGTTGGGGAAGCTCAATTGCTGTCAAACGTATACTAGGAGGTCCACCATTTCTCTCCGAGAGGCGTTGGATAAGGCAAGGCCATTGGAAACCATACGAAATACCGAAATCAACAATGTGAAGCCTTGTTGCTTTTTCAGCTAGTTTAATAATTGTCCTGTTGGAAAAGAAGTGTAACATATACTTGAAAGGGCAATAATTAACATACATCTGGTGGGCTTTTAGGATTTCAGCGGCTGGTGTCTGTATACTCAGAAGAGGTGAATATGATGGGGTTCTGGCTCCCACCAAGCGCGCCTCTAGGCCATCAGCAAAGTAATGAGCTAATCTCTCGGTTGCATCACCAGAGGGGGAAGAGTGCTTCCTTATCTGCTTCAGTACTTCACTCGCACTTCGTTGGTCATAGCTTGCTGTGGCCTGTGCACATTGAGTTAGCAGGGTGCTAATATCCACAACTTCCTGGTAGTTATTCTGTTTCTTCAAGCGTGTTGTTTTAGACCCTTTTGACTGTTTTTTAGGCTGCAACTTCTCACTTCCCTCACTGCTCAAAGGTTTGTCACGAATACAAGACGCATGCGTATGATTCACATGACAGAGTAATACCCTATCAAACATTTCTTGTGGCTCAGTGTCGTCGCCTAAAGCAGCTGACTGCTTGTTGCTTCTCCCTCCATCTGCATAATCACCATCCTCCCTTTGATGATTCTTCTTTCCCTTCAATCTGTTTGCTGAGATGTAGCCATCATTCTCTGGCTCTGGTGCGGAATTCCTCCCCAGTGTGTTATCGCCCGGGGGAACTAATTGGTACCTCTCCAAGTCAATGATTCCATGTTTCAGGTTTGGAACGAGATTTCCTGCCTCCCCAACTCCTCCAAAATTCCCAGAAGTTGAGTTTGAAACCAAAAGGGTTTCTGAAGAATCGAAAACCGAGTCTGCCTTAGCAGCCATAGAATCATTACTGCTATAACTCTGTGAGGAATCATCATCTGAGTGCTCAAAGCTTTGGTACACCGGATGAGGCGGTTGGTCAGGCGAAGGAGGATCCTTCGGATTAAGGACATCATAGAAAGATTTCTCAGCAGCTTGGAGGGCCAAACAGTTCTGCAACATGCAAGGCTTATCCTCCAAATCTTCTTCCAGAAGAATATCACTTATGTACTTGATCACAGAAGGATTATAGTCACTCATGTCAAAAGAATCTCCATCTGATCCCGGGTTCGAAAACCCGGAATCAGTTGGATGCTCTGGGGTTGTTGGAAGGAAAAGTGGATTGGTGGGTTCATGATTCACTTGGAATTGAGTAGAACCAAATTGGAAGTTTTTCATGGGACTTGAGAATCTTTCAAAAAGGGTATCCATAAAAACAACCAATTTAGCAGAAACTGGTCAGATTTATCAGGTTTTTCCAGAAAACCCAATTGAGATATTGGAATCTTGAAACCGATGGCCAAGAAAAGTTGGGGAAAACAAGAAAGTGATATAATTTCAATCTTATATTATGCAATTCACTCACAAAATAAGATATCAATCCAATTGGGTAAGTGAGAAATACTCAGAAATATATACAGATTTGTGGTTGTGGAACATCATCCAACAGGTTATGAACAGAATCAAGATTTGAACAAACAAAATTGACAATTCTCAGAGTACCTCTTGGTCTTTTGAGCTGCAGAATACTTCACACCTGAGAAAAAAGCAACAGGTCTAATTTGATTGCAGGTATGTACAAAAATTATATACATACATATATATATATATATAGATATACGTAGTGATTATCCTTTGTTTCAGTCTTTATTCTTTAACTCTTAAAGTCAGTCAAAGTCAACAGCCACCCACCCGCCTTTGTGTCTGTATGTGGAATTTATGGGATTTGCGTTGGATGCTTGCTCTATACATCAACACTTTCTTTCAAGCCAATTCGCATTTTTTGTTCTAACTGGTCGTATCGTTTGTCAAATAAACTACAATTCTTACCATAAGTGGTAAGTCATACTTATTATCAAACTTATTTGTCATATGTGTGCTACACCAATATTATGGCGTAACTAGTGCATCGAATATACACGTAGTAAATTATACGAAATTGGTATACAAATGATACGAAATTGATATACAAATTATAGGCAATTGATAAGAAATTTGATCAAGCTCCATAGGCAGAGATGGATAAGAGAAAATTAAGAGTGAACAAGAAGCTATAAGATATATTAATAATTCAAAGAGAATACAAATCTTGGGCACCACATTGTGAAACTCCTAAGCAGGTTTCAAAGCACAAAGAGCCATGACAATTCTTCCTTTCCATCCCTGCAGCATCCAGTGGCCATCTTCATATATTCGAAAATCGTCGTGATAACGCATCAACTTCAGCATAGCTTTCACTTTCCTCATGAGCTCCTGGTCTAGCGGCACCTGCTTGAACCCTGCCCGCTGATACCTAACCTGCCAATGCTTGTATGTCTCCGGCCTTTCAACTCGTTCGAGCCCCTCGCATGCTACAACATTCATTATGTCTCTACCATATATTGCTCCTTCAAACATCAGCCGGTGTTCATCTTCGCGAGGAATAGTGGCCTCAAACATATCAAACAGCGAAGAGTAATGGAAGAGTGCTTCTCTGAACCGCTTGACAAAGAAGGGCGAATTATATGTCCCATTGACAAGTCCGTGAAGGAAAAGGTCTGGATTTATTTTCTTGATCAAGTTAAGGACAGTGTCTCTCGGACTGCTCATCACGACTGTTTCATCAGGTATGTGCCTTAATCGGCGCATACAGTTAACAACAGTCAGCTCACTCCTGTCAACTTTAAGATCCTCAAATCGGATAGTTTCCCATTTCTGAGCAATGACATTATACTCAAATGGGACAACGAATCTCTTAGCATATTTTTCTAAGCGACGCATTGTCTCTTCAACCCTTTCAGTAGGTCGAAAACCTGGTTGGGGGAGCTCAATTGCTGTGATACGAAGATTAGGAGGTCCACCACATCTCTCGGAGAGGCGTTGGATCAGGCATGGCCATTGGAAACCATAAGAAATACCAAAATCAATAATGTGAAGCCTCGTAGCATTTTCCGCCAGTTTCATTATTGTTCTATTGGCGAAGAAGTACAACATCTTCGTGAAGGGGCATGAAGTAATATACACCTGGTGAGCTTTTAAGATTTCGGTAGCTGGTGTCTGCGGGCTTAAAAGAGGAGAATATGAGGGGGTTCTGGAGCCAGCCAACCGCGCCTCTAGGGCGTTAGCAAAGTAATAAGCTAATCTCTCGGTTGCCTCACCACAGGGAGAAGTGTGCTGCCTTATCTTCTTGATTAGTTCACTCGCAGTTCGCTGGTCATAGCTTGCCACAGCTTGTGCGCATTGAGTCAGCATTGTGCACAAATCTACTAATTCCCTGTTCTTATTCTTTGTCTTCGATCGTGCTGCTTTAGAAACTTTTGGTTGCTTGTTGCACTTCAACTTCCCACTTCCATCAGTTTTGACAGACTGATCATCAGAACAAGACTCAAACGCATGCCTCGCATCCTTATAGAGCAAAACCTCATCAAACATTTCTTGTGGCTCGGGGCCATCAGCAGAAGCAGCGGACTGTTTGTTGCTTCTCCCTTCTTCCGTATAATCGCCATCCTCCCTCAGGTGATTTTTCTTTGACTTCAATCTATATGTTGAGTTGTAGGCATCCGATGAAGACTCAACCGGACAAGATTGGACATGAGAGGTTTCTGAACCCGAAACCGAGTCTGTCCTAGCAGCAACACAGCCAATACTACTATGGCAACACTCTGTGAAATCATCATCTGAGTTCTCAAAGCTTCGGTCCACCGGAAGAGGGGATTGGCTGGACGAACGACCCTTCGGATTAAGAACATCATAGAAAGATTTCTCAGCAGCTTGGAGGGCCAAGCAGTCCTGCAACATGCAGGGCTTACCCTCCAAATCTTCTTCCAAAAGAATATCGCTTATGTACTTGAGCACAGGATGATTGCAAACGCTAATATCAAAAGTATCTCCATCCGAACCCGAGCTCGAAAACCCGGATTCACTTGGATGGTCTGGGTTGGGCGGAAGGAAAAGTGTATTGGTGGGTTCATGGTTCACTTGGAATCCATTTACAGGAATCTGGGAAGATCTCGAATCACTAGGATTGTGGTCCAAGTTTGTTGGAAGAAAAATTGGATTGGTGGATCCGTGATTTCCAAGATTTTGATTAGATCCATGACCAACAGTGAATCTTTCCATGGGAACATAAAATCTTTCAAAAAGGGTATCCATAAAAAGAATTAATTTAGCAGGAACTCGTCTGGTTTCTTAGATTTGAAGAACCTCAGCTGTGGTGTTGGAATTTTGGAACTGATGACTAGGAAGCTTTGGAAAGAAGGAACTGCAGCTAATTGAGAGAGAGAGAGAGAGAGAGAGAGAGAGAGAGAGAATATCAGCTAGTAGATTATGAACAGAAATAAGATTAATCAAGAAAAAAAAAAAAGAATATTGAATGAAAGCTGAAACTCTTTGCAAACCTGGACATCCTGAAGTTGGTTAAAGTAGTGTGCTCACTTCTCGCACTGAAGTTCGAATCCACTTCGTTGTAGTTGAGATTTGATTAGTTAGAATTTCGCTCGAATGAAAAATAAAACCTGAAATTCTTCACTATTTGTTGTCTAAAATCAAAATGAATCAGAGAGTCAGTGGAGGGAAGTATAAACCTGTTCACAGTAATGAAATTTCCATCTGGGGGAGGTCCTTCCTCCGAAAGTAGGACAAAATCAGCCGCCACCTTCTAAACAAAGTGGGAAAAAACTATATAGACATATACAGTGAAAAAGACCCTAAGCGTAAAGATGAACTGCACTTGGGCTAAAACAACAATATGTGTAAATCCGCGTGGGATTATTATTGTTAACTTTGAATATTCACTACGCTAATTTGTTTTTTAATAGACGGCAGCGGTTGATCGCATTTTCGATTATTTTATAGACGTTTAAAAATTAAGAAAGAGCGTCTAGATATGTCTATGCGCATCCATCTAAACCACAACTCTCATTTAGACAGAAAATAGTGAACTTTTATTTTGCATTTTATTTTTTCAATAAATTATTAGAGACTTGTTGAATACTTGGATAAATATTAATTATATGTTTGCTCTCCGTGTTTTCGATATGTTCTAATACTTTATAATCTATATGTCATTTATATCCCAATACAATTATATATTTTTTAAGTATAAATAATTATTTATTTACATGTTATATAATAAATTTAATTAATTAAAAAAACCACTAGACCCTACCTAAACGCCTAAGCGCTAGCCCCTACTTACCGCTTGAATAGCGCTTCGCGTATTTTAAAACAAACCTCTTGCAATCGTGTTAACGTTTACAGTAACCCAGAGAACCAAATGACTATATTCAAATACCAAAAAAGCAAACAGCAACAGCAGCCTCCCTGCTGATATTGACTAATAACAGGTAAAAGTAAAAACATTTCCTTGAATTTGGACAAGATTTGAAAGGTGACATCCGTTTCTTCATTCAATATGTTGATTGAATCTAGCGAGTAAACGAGACGTACAGGAAATATTGAAGATACAAGAAAATACAGATTTTAGGCATCACAAAGTGTGACTCCTATGCAGGCTTCAAAGCATTAAGTGCTAAGACGATTCTTCCTTTCCATCCCTGCAGCATCCACTGGCCATCATCTTCAATTAGGAAATCACTATGATACCCCATCACCTTCGACAAGGTCTTCACTTTCTGCAAGAGCGCTCGGTCTAACGGCAGCTGCTTGAACCCGATCCTCGCATACCTAGCCTGCCACTGCTTGTATGTCTCCGGCCTTTCAACTCTCTCCTGCCCCTCGCACGCTACGACATTCATTATGTCCCTCCCAAATACTGCTCTTTCAAACAGCATTCTTTGTTCATCTTCGCGTGGAACAGTGGCCTCGTAGATATCAAAGAATGCGTGGAAGTGGAAGAGTGCCTGTTTGAACCGTGTGACAAAGGCGGGCGCATTGTATGTTCCATTGACAACTCCGTGCATGAAAAGGTCTGGATTGATTCTCTTGATCAAATTTAAGATAGCATCTCTTGGATTGTTCGCCATCACTGTTTCATCAGGTATTTGCTTCAACCGGAACATACAGTTAACCACGGTCACCTCATTTCTGTCAATACGAATATCCTCCAATCGAATGGTTTCCCATTTCTTAGCAATGACATTGTACTCAAATGGGACATTGTACTTCTCACAGTATTTAGTTAAGCGACGCCCCGTCTCTTCAATTATCTCTGCAGGTCGAAAGCCTGGTTGGGGAACCTCAATTAATGTGATACAAAGTTTAGGAGGCCCGCCGGTTTTCTCTGAGAGACTCTGGATAAGGCAGGGCCATTGCAAACCAAAAGAAATACCGAAATCAATAATGTGAAGCCTTGTCGCCTTCTCTGCTGTTTTCATAATTGTTCTGTTGGCAAAGAAGTGCACCATCTTCTTGAAAGGGCATGCAGTAACATACACCTGGTAAGCCTTCAAGATTTCCGTTTCTGGTATGTGCATCATTAGAGGACGGCAATATGACGGGTTTCTGGCACCAGCCAACCGCGCCTCTAAGCCATCAGCGAAGTAATGAGCTAATCGCTGGGTTGAATCACCGTAGGGCGAAGAGTGCTGCCTTATCCGCTTGAGTAGTTCATTTGCAGCTTGTTGGTTATAGCTTGCCACAGCTTCTGCGCATTCAGTTAGCAGTTTGCAAAGGTCTACTACCTTCCCGTTGCTGTTTTGTTTCTTTGCACGTGATGTTTTTGATCCTTTTGACTGCTCCTTATGCTGCAACGTCCTATTTCCCTTGGTTTTCGAAGATTCATCATGAGAACAAGAGTCAGGTTCATGGTTCACACTCTGTAGAACCTTATCATATATTTCTTGCAGATCAGAACTGTCACAAGCAGCAGCTGACTGCTTGTTTCTTCTTCCTTCTTCTGTGTCATAGCCATCCTCCCGCCGATGATTCTTCTTTCCCTTTGATCCATTTGTTGAGTTGTAGCCATTCTTCGATGCCAAATCCCCAATCAGTGTGCAAGGACCTCGAGGCCACTGATCAGAACCTGAAGGCATTAACTGGTCCCTCTCAGGGTCAATGATTTCACAACTTTGTTTTGGAACGAACTTGATTCCTTCCTCTACAGAAAACGAATCCGAAACGAAAAGGGTATCCGATATAGGCTCAAAGAGTGAAGACTGGACATGACAGGGTTGTGAAACATCCCAAACACAGCCGCTATTAGCAGAAATAGAGCCATTACTGCTATAAAAACTGGCAACAGAGCCATCACTGCTATGAAAACCGACATCGGAATCCTCAAAGCTTTGGTACACAGAAAAAGAGGGTTGGTTGAGTAAAGGAGGGTTTTCCGAATTAAGGGCATCATGAAAAGAATTTTCAGCCATTTTGAGGGCCAAAGATTGCTGCAACATGCAGGCCTTACCCTCCAAATCTTCCTCCAGAAGAATATCGCTTATGTACTTGAGCACAGGTTGATTGCAATCACTGATGTCGATATTATCAGCATCCGAACCCGCGCTCAAAGAAGTACTTGAAACACTAGGATGATCGAAGTTGGATGGAAGGGAGTTTGGGTTGGTGGATTCATGATTCTCTTTGAACCCACCTGCAAGATTCTCATCACAACAGACTGAATTCGAGCCATCGCCCAATTCAAATCCTTCAATGGGGGCAGAAAATCTTTCAACATAAAGGGTATCCATGAAAACAACCTATCTAGCAGGATTAGCTCAAAATTCTTATTTTTCAAGGCTCAGAAGTGATGAAATTTGGAACTGATAACCAAAAAAGGAATGAAAGAATGAAACACTAAGAAATCTTGCAGAGTACCTGATAACTTGTGGAACAGTACACTGATCAGACAGATGCTGTTTTTTTCTTTTACAATAAAATCTGCAGAGACATCTTCATACTGCATATTTTAATGAAACTTCTGGGAAGGTCTGAATTCAAAAGTTTGACAAAGTCAGTAGCCAACTTTTAATAAAATTGCAGTCCATATACAGTAAGGCTGCTTTATCTCCTGTCGGACTCCTGTCATTGTAGATGGGTAGTCAAGAGTCCAAAGGTCCATAAACATAAAAATCAACTTTGCAGGGGCCAATCAACAAATTAGACAAGTCCTTGCCTGACAATCCATACCTTTCCTGTGTTCCCACCATAATTTTCTATTCAAAGTTTTTGCAGGAGTAAAATTTGACCATGTTAATTATAGAGAAAGCTAATGAAAATGATTTGAAAACTTTAAATTTTAATGATAAGGACAGAATAAAGAGTAAAGTGAATAGGACCAGGATTGACTTTTTAGTATAAAAATATGATTTTTCGTTAAAATGAACAGTACTGTGGGTTTTTCATTAAAAATTCTTTAATTATAAAGTACGAAAAGATTGAAATTTGTTTACAACCAATACAAAACAAATAAATAAAAATAAGGGTACTAAAATGAAAACTTAGAAAATTCTAATCAGTCATATTTTACTTCTGCTATGACAGATTGACCATATGAGTTCACCATCGTAGTATAACAATTTTTAGGTTTTTTCCTCTCTAAGTTGCAATTTTCTTCATTGCTGCCATAGATTTTGGCTTTTTTTAATCAATAATTATCAAGCCTTATTGAAGTTTGACACTTTAATTGACTGCAGAGTTCTTTTTCTTTCTGAAGTAATAGTTTGTATTTGATTCACTGTTTTTAGGCGTTCCCACATTTGGCACGATTAGATTGGATAACTCTGTAGACTCACGGGTCCAAGTTGAAGGCAAATGAGAGATTAGTTCTAAAAAGAGCATATCCCCAAATCCAATCCTACCAATTTGTGGGAATTGAAAGGGATGAATTTCCTTCGTGACTAATCTACCGAATTCCCTCAACTTACACAAAATGGCAACATACTTAGATGTTGTGAGTTATCTAGTCCAATCCAATCGTAAGCACCAAAAATGTCCTAAGAATCTCAAGTCATAAGAAGAGTTGAGCATTTAACAACCATATGTTGGCAAAAGAGTGCATTTATCAAGAACTGGTTCAAAATATTACATATCCAAGATCAAGCTCCCATAGGCAGCAATGAATAAATGAAAAATAAACAATAAACTCATAAAACCAAGAACAAAGCAGCATGCACACCTTTGTCCCTGGATGGAATATTACACAAAAAAATCAACAACAAAGAGAATAAAGATTGTACTAGTTGCCTAGGCCGGCACCCAGACTGACAGAGCCAAGATAGTTCTTCCTCTCCATGACTGCAACATCCAGTTCCCATCTTCATCAATCCTAAAATCATCATGATAAGACTTCAACATTCTCTTCACTCGCTTCAAAAGAGCTTGGTCTAGTGGGAGCTGCTTGAACCCAGCCCTCACGTTCCGAACCTGCCACTGCTTGTATGTCTCAGGCCTTTCAACTCTTTCCAGTCCCTCACAAGCTACGACATTCACTATGTCTCTACCGTAAATTGCTTTTTCAAACAACCGACGCATTTCATCTTCGCGGGGAACAGTGGCCTCTAAGATATCAAAGAATGCAGAGTAGTGGTAAAGTGCCTCTCTGAACCGTGTGGCAAAGAAGGGTGCATTGTATGTCCCATTGACAACCCCATGAATGAAAACGTCTGGATTAATTTTCTTGATCAACTTTAGCACAATATCTCTTGGACTGCTCGCCATCACCGTCTCATCAGGTATATGCTTTAAACGGCACATACAATTGACCACAGTCAGCTCACTTCTGTCAATTCTAAGATCCTCAAATTTGATTGTCTCCCATTTCTGAGCAATGACATTGCACTCAAATGGAACATTAAATCTCTCAGCATATTTTTTCAACCGACGCGCAGTCTCTTCAACTCTTTCGGTAGGTCGAAAACCTGGTTGGGGAAGCTCAATTGCTGTGATACGAAGCTTAGGAGGTCCACCAGTTCTCTCCGAGAGATGTTGGATAAAGCAGGGCCATTGGAAACCATACGAAATACCAAAATCAATAACGTGAAGCCTTGTTGCGTTTTCTGAGAGTTTCATAATCGTTCTGTTGGCCATGAAATTTGACATGAGTTTGAAAGGGGACGAAGAAATAAACACCTGATAAGCTTTTAATATGTCAGCAGTTGATGTTTGTGTACCAACAAGAAAAGAGTATGTTGGGGTTGTGGCGCCAGCCAAGCGTGCCTCTAGGCCATCAGCAAAGTAATGAGCTAATCTCTGGTTTGCATCACCACAGGGGGAAGAGTGGTGCCGTATCTTCTGGAGTAGTTCACTTGCAGTTCGTTGGTCATAGTTTGCCACAGCTTGTGCACATTGAGTTAGCAATGTTCTCAAATCAACCATTTCCGTGTTGTTATTCTGTTTCTTTGAACGCGTTGTTTTAGCCCCTTTCGCCTGCTTGTTACCCAGACGATGATGGCCATGACAGAGCAACACTTCATCAAACATTTCTTGCGGCGGCTCAGAGTCATCAGCAAAAGCAACTGGCAGTTTGCTGCTCCTCCCTTCTTCTGGATAATCAACATCCTCCCTTTGATGATTCTTTTTTCCCTTCAATATATTTGTTGAGTTGTACCCATAATTCTCCGGCCTCCTCACCAGTGTGCGAGTCCCCGGAGGGCGCAGATCAGGACCTGGATGCATCAAGTGGTTCCTCTCCTGGTCAAAAGTTCCAAAACTTCCATTTGGGAGGAACTTGCTTGCTTCCCCTACGCCTCCGAAATGCCCAGAACTTTGCAGCTCAGAAAGCAAATCCGAAACCAACAGGTTATCCGATTGAGACTCAACAAGAGAAGATTGGAAATGGGAGGTTTCTGAAGAATCAAAACCCCAGTCTGTCTTAGCAGCAATAGAGGAGCCATTACCGCTATGAAAACTCGGGGTGGAATCATCATCCGAATTCTCAAGGCTATGGGACAAAGGGGGTTGGTTTGGCGAAGGGGGACCCTTCGGATTAAGGACATCAAAGAAAGACTTCTCAGCAGCTTGGAGGGCCAAACAGCCCTGCATCATGCAGGGCTTACCCTCCAAATCTTCTTCCAGAAGAATATCGCTTATGTACTTGAGCATCGGGTGATTGAAATCATTAGGGTCAATAGAATCTCCATCTGAACCAGTGCTCGAATAAGTGCTTGAATCACTAGAATTATGATCCAAGTTTGTTGGAGGGAAAATTGAATTGGTGGATTCATGATTCACTTTGAACCCATTTACAAGATTTTGATGAGGATAGACTGACCCAAAATTTAATCTTTCCACGGAAACATCGTATCTTTCAAGAAGGGTATCCATAAAGTTTCAACTTTTCAACAATCCCAAGTCAGACTTTTCAAATTTTCAAGAAACCCAACTGGGATGCGAGATTTTGGAACTGATTTTATGGAGAACGAAAGTGAAATGAAAATGGAATCTGGGTTATGAAGAACTCGACCCAATTGGGCAATTGAGAAAATACCCAGAAACAGATAGCAAGATTCAGACTTTGCACAAACCAGCAAACAGGTTATGAACAGGAAAAGAAATTGAATTGAACCGACAATAATCGAATAAATAAAAGCTGCTGAAACTTCTGGAATAACTAAGAAAGATTGCAGAGTACACCCGAGAAAACTCGTAAGGAGATCAGATGCTTTGACTGGACTCTGGAATTGTGTGTGTATACAAATATATATATATATATATATATATACAGAAAAAAATATGCGTGCTTTATTTAAGAAAAAATAGGAGCTGGAGACCGACGAACCTTCTGGGAAGGGGGTTAAAAAGCAGGACAAGTCAGCCACCACTTTTAAAAATGATACAGAGCATACATAAAGATGATAACATGCAGCCAATCAGATTTGGACACTAGGGTTTTAGTAGCTAGACAGAGATAGAAAACGTGAAAACAAGGATGTGGATCACAACTGCAAACCGAAAAAGTTCCTCAAATCCTTATCTGATTTTAAGTTCAATTTCTGACGCTGATAAATAACATGATAGTGATCAAGACATGCTAAAATATGAGTCTTTCTAATTTTTAAAATTATAGATTGTCGTGGCAAAATTACTCGATAATTTTTTTTTATAAAAAAGAAAAAAAAAGTCCATTCGTGATGAACAAGTTACAATTTTCTTGGGTTCCCATTGTAGTTGTTTATTCAAACTTAAAAAATTAACATAGTCAATCTCGGTGTCACTAACAATGTGAAGGTAATAATGTACTCATTATGTTGTCACTAATCCTACCGTGTAGTCATACTTTTCATTTTTTTGGGGTGATATTCACACACATCTTATTTGTAACACATCATTATTATTTTTTAGTAATTAATCTTCTTCAATTCATTTGATCTAAATAAGTAAAAAATTGAAATAGGCATGTGAGAAGTAAAAATAGGTACGTAAATAACATTATCCTTTTTTCTAGTGTATGATGAGTTTGATGATTAATTATCATTAATATGTTGTGTGGTATAGCGCAAACCTACCAGAGTATAAATGTATCGTTGCATAAAACAAAAGATTGATTACCTTGATGCACAAGACATCCTAAGCTATTCAAGTCAATGTCCTCTAATCACGCCATGGGTAGCTTGGGTGATGCACTCCAATAGCCATTTGTTTAAAGGATCAAAATTGAATAGGGGGAAATTGAGGTTTTAATTAGGAGGGCCTGTTAGGGTTCATGTCACTGGAGATTAAGAGGTGGGGAATGTATAGGGCAAAGGCAGTGGGGGTGGGGAAGTGGTACGCGGGATGACGGTGGCGCGTCCGAGAGTATGAACTTTGTGATTTTTTGGTTTTTCTCTATTTTAGTTCTAAAATAATGTTTCGAAAAAGAAAAATTCATGCACATATGGAGCTTCATGATTGGTTGATGCAACTAAGGAAAATGATACTTGTACACTTAACGTTTGACCAAAAAAATGGGAGAAAATTTTATTTGGACTATGATTGTTAACTGACTTCACCACATGATTACAATTTGTTATACAATCAGAAATTAGAATGGTAGTTTTATTGTTGACGTTATATGTGCTTGAAATTGTAAAGACTATTATATTGATGATTATTCACGCGTGCTATTTGGGCTAACAATGTATATTCAACTTCAGTTGGTAAACGAGAAATAGTGGATTATAATATGTGAAAAACAATAATAAATAGTCACTAACAATGTAGTACATAATACGTGTATCAGTATTAATGAGACACAAGTCACACAACGGTTGAAATCTAAGAAGCTATGATAACTTAATCCTTACTGATGCTTATCTCCTAAATTAAACTATATATTAGGTATTAAAAGTAAAACATCACATGTAATTTGCATCTTTTGACTTTCTTTTGTTTTTATAAGACACACCGACGAATATTCTTCTACTCATGCATGCGACAATGACAATTCCATTTGACTAATACTACGTACGTAAGTATTTTGGCCTTAAATTATTGATTGGTTTGGTTAATTATGACTGGGTTTTTGTTAACTATTATTGTCAAAGTGAAAGATCACCATCATATATGTATCTGAATGTACACGTGGGTAAGTGGGTTGTATTTGAAAACCGATAGCGGTGGAAATACCGATGACTGGATTTGGTTATAACACCGATAGCGATAGAAATATCGATATGCAAACTTGTGCAAATATCGATGGATATATCGATATTGTTTGTCTTCAATGGAAATGAAGAAATTTGCTCAAAACGTAAAATTTAAACTGAAACTTTAGGGAATGTCAAATATTGGTTTAGACGAAATATAAAAGTTTCTTCGATATTTAACTGATATGTCGAAAATATCGACGAAATCTATCAATTTTAGCTGAAATTTAAGAGTTTCTCCGATATGGGGTGAAGTATAAACTCCACCCCTCCGCCCCTTCTTTCTATATCTTTTTATGATTTTTCTGATATGAAATTCCAAATGAATATGTTGTTGACTAAATAATCAACATTACTGTAATTAGACTTGTCACTAATTTTTCAAAAGCAAACCATGATTTTCACAGAAAAAGAAGTCTTTCCTTATCCCGAGAATACATCTCTTTTTATTTTCTCACACATCACGGGCTCCGTCATCATGCGTTGTGAGTGAGAAGAGAATGAGATACATCCCGAGATATTTTAGGACAGTACCCAAATTTCTTGTACTGTGCAAGAGGATGACCATTACAATTCTCAAAGGGCAATATCACCAATTTCTTAACTTCTACAGAGAAGTATGACCTTAGAATTCCCTAATCATAATTAAGATAGGATAGTGCTATCCAAACACTTGTTTTACCTTCTATATATCTTTTTTAATTTTGGATTGTGGGATCAAATAAATTAAAGAAGATTAAATGATTGGAGGAAAAAATATGAGTGTGTGGATAGCACCATTCATATCAAAATCAAAGTTTTTTAAAAATTTCTCAATTAAGTATAGGAGTAATCTAATGTATAATTATAAACAAAAACAAAAAACTGTATATATGATGGTGTTTGGACAGTGACTGGCGGCTTCAAGTAGTCAAAAGTGACCAACATAAAATAGAACTATAAACTAATTAATTAAAACATTTTGTTACTTCAACTCCAACAACAACAACAAAAATATTCGATACGTTGAAGAATTGTCTTATGATGGACTACATTCATCCAAATTTAGGTTGGCCCAAACTTTACAATATTAATTTTATACAACGAAATTGTTTGCCCACCATCCACAACATCGACAGTGCTTTGTGAAAAACTTATATGAAAAAGAATGAAGGGTCCCCTCCAGTTTCAAAAGTGTTTCTTTCTCAGCAAGGAAATAGAATACCAAAGAATGAGTGTTCCTTTCTCAGCTAGTTTCAAATTGTTTGAGCAATACTATATGAAAAAGAATGAAGGGTCCCCTCCAGTTTCAAAAGTGTTTCTTTCTCAGCAAGGAAATAGAATACCAAAGAATAAGTGTTCCTTTCTCAGCTAGTTTCAAATTGTTTGAGCAATACTATAGTTCATTTACACTTCTAGGATTATTTGTAGAGGTGGGATTCCCACTTCAACATGGTCTCTCGCGTGTGGAGTGTATAAGTCTATCCAATGGGGACAAAACTTAATGAGTGACGTAGCAATACGTGGATTGTTGATGGATAGCCCAACCTCTGTAATAAAATGTCATCATCCAACCTAAAATTAATTAACAATAAATTAAAATTCATTTAAACTATTACGCAAGCGTTTAATTCCAAGGTATAGATTCACACTCTCTCAACAATAAGGCTTAGACTCACATTTCTCTCCATACTAGCCAATTACCACTATCATGGTATCATTTCTCACCATCAGCTTGCTAGTCTTAAATCAGAAACTTATAACAAAAGCAAATGAAAAACAAAACCAAAACTCGAACAAATTTCAACTTGAAGACCTAAAGTACCGACTGCATGTACATAACTATACATCATACCAGTGGGAGAGGCGTTCAACCATCATCTATCATGACCAATACGCCTTCAGCCATCATATGCGTTGATCAAAAGCCAAAAAGATAGTTTAGTAAATATCTAATGAGAAACACCGCTCTTTCGTTAAGGTTCTTCGAGAAGGTATTACCACAAATGACCTGAAAAAACATGAAAAATGTAAATAAGCTTTTTTCTTTTAACTTGTTGAGTGAGTCGAATAACTCAAACTTAACCCTCACAAGGATAAACTTCATATTATAAAAAAGAGAGACTCTAATTACAAAGATGGCGTATTCAGGAAGTTCAGCCACAAAACCGACTACTATATGCATGCATGTATATTAGTGTACAACATGGATAAACGTAATACTTAAATGTGAAATGAAATAGTACCTCTGCCTGTTGAAGGTATATGGCTATTGCCACATCATCAGTTGACTACCACATCATTTGACACATCATCACAGATTACTACATCAGTTATTGGAGTTAGTTAGTTTGTTATCAAGTAGTTAGAGTAAGAGCGTAGCTGATAAGGCATATCTGCAGGCTATATAAACATGTACTCTGTGTGTGTCAGATTCGTATTGAATCTGTTGAGAAATAACAAAAGCTTTCATTCTTCTTACTCTTTCTGTCGCTCTCATCTCTCTATTTCTTTAGGCTTTGCTATTGAATGTTCTGCATACATACATTCATCTCTACATATCTGGATGAATGTTATCATGGTATCTTCGCCATTCGATCTTGATATGTTCACTTCCGCTGTGCTGATACAAGATTTCTGGTGATTGAAAAGCTTCTTGGTCACACTCCGACGACGAGTGATCAACTGCGACATCTATACACTTATTCAAGCATAAAAATATAACATTAGAAACTAATCCTACAACATTTTTCTTAAATGCAACAGATAATGTTGTGGGTTTCATGACAAGGTAAATGCAACAGAAAAACTCACATCAAGCTTTCAAGAAGGATTAGAACCCTGGAGTATCAATATTTCTCTTACAGTTTTCAACCTTATCGTCTTTCTCAAATGCAATTGTGATCCTAGAAAAGGAAAATACAATTGTAACTATACAACGTATTAACTAAGCACAATGTAGGAAACCAGGAAACGATGGGGTACATATTCAAATAACCTATAGATATATGAGAGTCCAATCTAACTTAAACATCAAAACTAACATTTCAAATTCATCACCATTTCCATCACAAGCATCAGCTTTCAAATCTGACCTTACGGAGAGTCAATGCGTCAATACATGCACCACCCACTTGGTCCACTAGAGAAAAATGATAGGCAAAAAGAAATGGGATGGG